AATCCATGTTGCGTGGAAAGCCGATCTCAAATGTAAAATCGAATTATTGCATTTATTAAAATTGAATAACATCGCAAATATTAATTTAATTTTAATTTAATTAAAATAAAGGGGTATTGATGGGGTAATTTATTTAAAAAAAACGAAAAATAAGTGGACAAAAAAGAAAAAAAAAGTGGGAAGCCCAAAATAGAAAGCACGTATTCAGCAAATACGTTTTCTTAATTTTTTTTTAATGAAAAACGTATTCTTCGAATACGTCCTTAAATTAAATTTGTTTACTTTTTTTAAAAACATATTGTCGGAAAATGTATATCTAATTTTATTTATAAACCGTATTTCTAAAATACGTTTTTATGAAAACCCCAAATTTAAATTTGAAACCCTAAAGCCTAAATAAATCAATTTTTATTTTATAAAAAAAATCAAATTTTGTTTTATAAACCGTATTTCATTAATACGGTTTTTAATATTAATTAATTTTTAACAAAAATTTAAATTAAAATAAAACGAAAAGGAAATACGTTTTTTATTATAATAAAAAATTAAAAACGTATTTACAAAATACGGTTTTTAACAAAATATAAGTAAAAAAAATCTTCTCCTCCACCATTCTGCGAGATTCACTGAAACTGCGAGCAAAAAAAAAATTACTTCCTTCCATTTTCTATTCACCTCAAAATAAAAAATAAAAAAAAAAGCTTTTAACAATCAATCGATTCGGAGAAGAGGTTAGTTGTTATTTTAATGTAATGTAATTACATATTTTTTTTTTTTGTTTATGAATTTGTAAGAAATATTTGTTGGTTTTGATGAGTATAGTTTAGAAAAGATTTATTGTTGATTTAATAGTTGTGTTAAATGATTATACATTGTTCTTGGATGATGGGTTTCGGTGTATGTTGAGAATTTTTGCGAAAATTGGATGATTTGTATTGTATTGTTGGATTATGAGAATTAGGGTTTTGGAGAGTTATTTTATAAAAGAACATTCGATTTTTTTTGTTATTGTAGTATTAATTGGAAATATTTATCTTAAATTGAGTAAAAGAATAATTGAATTTTTTGGGAAATTATGTGATGTTGTAATTGGGAAGAATTGAAAGTGTTTATATGTTATTGATGAATTTTATTTTTTTGTTGTAGGAATGATAAAAGAATAATTGAATTTTTTGGGTGTTGGGTTAGAAAGTATGTGTTGTTGTAATTGAGAAGAATTGCTTTTTGGCAACAGGTATAAATGGCGTCTACCGGACCATACTTTGTTAATGTGTATTGGAATTTTCCCAAGCAGTTGTTATATGATTTTTTCAGATTTTAAAAACTCTCCGGATGGTTCATTTAGCATTGAGGAGAAGATATCATTTAAACAATTGGTAGATATTCTTTATGAAAATTTTGGGTTTCATCGAGATGGTTGGATAATTGAGGAGATTAGTTTATTGACTAACCAACGCGATGGTTTGTGGAATATTGGAAACCTTAATACTGATAGTGCTCTTGAGTGGATATATTATTTCACTCCTTTCTCCTATGTGTATTTGCATTTAGAGTTGAAGCAGATTACGCAGGCACCTACAGAGGTTACGCAGTTTAATGATGTTACCCCTTTTTACGGGGGAGTGCCTGATGTTGAGGGTACGTCCACTTCGCATGTTCGTAATTTTGGCGAAGGGACAAGCTCAACAGTTAAAGAATGCGATAATGAGGGTGATGATGATTTCATTCGCGGTGAAGACGATTTCACAGATGATACCTCGAAAACGGAAACAGATAGATCAATAAACGGGGAGAGTGAACCAGAATTTATTGAAGAACACCCATTTCCTAGTAGCAGTCAGCACGTGTATCGCGAGATGGGTGAATGGGACCCGTCGTGTGTAGACCGTGATGAGTATGCCTTGCCAGTGTGGGATGGGCATGTCGAGACTATCCGTTTGGGTACTGTTTTCCGGTCCAAGGAAGAAGCACAGCTGGGTATCATGAGTTGAAACGTTAGTAGGTTGAGGGAGGTTAAGACAACCTATTCAAATAAGAAAACATTCAAGGTGGTGTGCACATCTAACGAAGATAAACCTTGTCCGTGGGTGGCTCGAGTGACGCACTGCACACGGGTTCATGAACTGTGGGAAGTAAGAAAATGGACTGAGAGGCACAGTTGTATGCAAAAAGTAAAAAAAAATGACCACAGAAATGTAACCGCTACAATGATCTCAAATCTTGTCATGACCAAGATTCAAAAGAAACCCGACTACAGTGTTACCCTGATCCAGGAGGATGTTAAAAAATGTTGGAAAGTCGATGTGAGCTACAAGAAGACATGGCACGGGAGGAAAAAGGCAATCGATCGTTTGTATGGCACTTGGGAATCGAACTTCGCACAACTCCCTCAGTAAGAAAAAAATTATTAAAAATGTACGTGTTATTTGTCACTATGTTTATGTATTGACGATTACGTTTTGTAACGTAAAGGTTTTTTGCGGCGCTTCAAAGAGCGAATCCCACTACAGTTGTAGAGTGGGAATGGCAAGGTGGGGAAATGGCGGCCCACTATCAGCACAGAGAATTCAAATTTGTTTTCTGGGCGTTTGGTCCCGCCATTCAGACCATTCAGAGATGTCTGCCGGTAATTAGCATAGACGGCACATATTTGTGTGGCTCGTACAAGGGGAAGTTGCTTGTGGCCGTTGCACAGACTGCGAATAAGCGGCTATTGCCAATCGCCTATGCGATTGTGGATGAAGAGAGCCAGGAAAGCTGGTCATTTTTCCTGACAAATCTCCGGCAACATGTTGTCGGCGACAGACAGATATTCTTTCTTTCGGACAGGGATGCAGGCTTACAGAGTGCCGTGGAATCGTTGCAAGCTTGGCAAGAACCCGCTGCATATCACCGGATTTGTCTTCGACACCTTTGGAGCAACGTCGTTACTAGGTTCAGGAATAACAAAATCCGAAATTGGTGTTGGGAGTTGGGTTCACAGGTTTCAGAGAAAAAATTTGAACTGATTCGATTGCGGCTTTCGAATTTTAATCCGGACGTATACGATTACCTGTTCAGAATTCCTCTGGACAAGTGGACCCTGTTTGGAGACGGAGGACGTAGATGGGGTACTTTGACTACCAACATGTCCGAGAGTTACAACAACGTCCTGAAAGGTGTTAGGTTCTTGCCCTGCCGAGCTTTGGTACACGCCACATTCATGAAAACTCTGGACTTGTTTGCGCAGGAACAAAAGAAGTCTACGAGATGCAGTAATGCCATTGCTAGTGCCCACTATGCCGCTTATTGCGAATTGGAGACTACGGCCGCAACTCATAAGGTGCGATGTTCAAATGCGGAGAGATCCCTGTTCAAGGTGACAACTGGTTTACGGGCTGATGGTAGAGGGGACAAAAGGTATATGGTTTATTTATTTATTGTATAATTTTTATTTTTTTATTTTGGTTCATCAAAATTTTTAGTTGTTTATAAATATAATTAAATGTGGAAAAACATGTATAAGGTTTCGTACGACCGGATGCGTTGTAGTTGTCTGAAGTGGCAGACACACAGAAAACCATGCTCTCATGCTATAGCTGTGTGTCGTGAAATAAAAGCTCAACCAAAGTTCTTGTACGATCCCCACTTTTGGACGGAGAACTGGGTGGCTCAATTTTCTAATTGGAGTTTTGCTCCGATTGGTGATCCGAACACATGGCCGCTGGTCGGATGGAACTTACTACCACATTGGGAGAGGATCATCACGAAGACTGGACCCGGTCGCGCGCAAACGAAGCGTCATCGCATGCAAATGGATCGTCGGGCACGCCGCCGGAATGATAGAGGACAGTGTAGTAGATGTGGTAATCTACAGCATTTTGTGGATGACTGTCCGTCCTCGCATCCTCGCACTGATAGATCTAGACTCCGTGATGAGTGGGGAAACTAGATTTGTTAGTGATTATTTTTTTTTATGTTGGACTATTTTTTTTATTGTTTACTTTGATTTGTTGGACTATGTTTGGATGAAATATTTTTGTTATGTTGGACTGTAAATGAGTTGATTTGTTTGTGTATTTTTGGTATAGTTGGTTGTTCTTAATATTTGTAACAGGTTTTAAATGGTTAAACAATAGAAATAACAAGTTTTTTTTTATATCAGTTAAATACGTATTCAGTAAATACGTTTTTTTAAAAAAAATATTAGAAAACGTATTTGTTTAATACGTTTTCTAAAAAATAATAAAATAAATTATTTAACATATAATATATAATATATATTATATAGTATATATTATATAATATATAGTATATAGTATATAACATATAGTATATAGTTTATATCTTATATCTTGTATCTTATATCTTATAATTTATATCTTATATCTTATAGTTTATAGTTTATAGTTTATAGTTTATAGTTTATATCTTATAGCTTATATCTTATATCTTATAATTTATAGTTTATATATCTTATATCATATATCTTATAGTTTATAGTTTATATATCTTATAGTTTATAGTTTATAGTTTATAGTTTATAGTTTATAGTTTATATCTTATATCTTATAGTTTATAGTTTATATCTTATATCTTATATCTTATAGTTTATATCTTATATCTTATAGTTTATAGTTTATAGTTTATAGTTTATATCTTATAGCTTATAGTTTATAGTTTATAGTTTATATCTTATAGTTTATAGTTTATATCTTATAGTTTAAATTATAATATATATGTATATACAATATATTATAAATACTATATAGTATAAAAAATATTGATGTTGAAGGATAAGAATAAATGTTGCGCAAAACTTTCAGCGATAGCCTAGCGCGGCCCAATGGTAACGAGGCTCCCCCAGAGATAACGAACTCACTCGAACCCGGGTTCTAGTCCCGAATTTGGGATCCTCCTACCATTTTTAACAAATAAACGCCTTTTTTTATATCTTACAAAGAAACCGTATTCAGCAAATACGGTTTATAATTAAATCACAGAACTGAAAACCGTGAGAACCGTGAGAACCGCTATTCAGCAAATACGGTTTTTAATATAAAATTTGTATATACAAATGAAAACCAAGTCTTAGTGTGAGAACCGTGAGAACCGCTAGTTTTAATTATGAGTAGTGTTACGATTGATTGTGTTTGGTGCTATTTTTAACCAGGATGAATTTTATTAAAAATACCAACACAATTTCTGTTAGCATTTGTAAAAATAATAGCATCATCTAATATGAAAAATAGCATCATATACAATTAAAAATAGCATAAAAAACGATTCTCACAGTTCTCAGACCAGTACTAGTTTTTATTTGAACCAACCCCTATATATATATATATATATAAAGGTAGGTATATATATTGAAAAAGTTTAATTGTTTAATCGTTCTAACTACCTAACAATAGTCTAACCATTTTTACTTCAGTAATAAAAGTTATGAGTTATGACGTTGTAACTAGAAGTATATGCTTGAAACAAAAAAAAAAATTCTTAATAATCTCACAATGAAATTCCAAAAATGAATAAAGCCTTTTGTTTTGGCCTTGCATTGGCTAACTGATAATATTGAGATTGCTAGTAGAATGCATAAGAAAACAATTTTTTCTTCTTCCTTTATCTTTATCAGATTAAATTTCCTTTCCCGTCGCTAAATTAAATGTGCAAAACCTCAGAATAATACCATTGGTAATACAAAACTGTGATGATCATTCAATGATAACAAAATTGAAATTTCAATATTACTGCAGTTCAAAATATGACACCCCAAGTTTGGAGAGTTTTACAAGTTCAGACTGGACAAAATTTATCTGTCGATTTCTAATTTTTTTTGTAAAGAGTTGAAAACATTGCAAAATTCATAGTTTGTTTGTCCCAACAGTCACATCCCATTACACAACATTCTCTGCTGCAGATAATCTTCAAACATATCAATGAGAAGCCTTTCAGGTCCTCTTCGTTACCATTAAACGTGCCCTCAACAGGCTGTGTGCATATTTATCAGGAGTTAAAAGCTGTGTCAAGAATATGGTCACGTCTATTTCGCACAAAATTTAGGTGAAATTCCTCAAACGCGCCTCTTTTAATTGCTTCTCTAATCGCACGGAAGAATCCTAGATAGTGATGCGTGTTATGGCTGGAAAAGAAGTTGTAGAAAAATTGTGTTAGGGTGACACTTATCAATAATAATGCATATTTAATGACTGAAGTGATCTCATTGCATACATTTCTAACAGAATATGAGCCAGCATCTCATGAACGTTAAACAAATGGTTTATATAAGCCTTCGTGTGATTCTGACATGTGTAGCACTTACAGCCATCGAGAATTGGTGACATGTCTTTCCTGTAAAAGAATATATCACAAGAAATATGAAGATCTACAATTTTTCATTCAATTTCAGTAAAAAAGAAGCACAGAGCTGCGAAGTTTGTAAATTCAAACCAGTAAACAAATAAATAAAATTCATTTGACATGAAAACGCTCATTCTTGTATCAGATGTCAACTGCTATGAGTTACATCATACTTTGAGATGTTATTACATAAACCATAAAATTTGTAACCTGTAAATGGTTGCTCTTAAATTGATCTTCGTGCCATCGTTACCAGCATCACACAGCTGATCAACATAGCTATTATGTCTCCCATTTTCCTCTAGAGGGAATGTAAGAGCAAAGGCTCCGAGTGTAAGATGGTATATATATCTGTCATGCATTCCTGAGTTTGTTTCAGTTTTTTTGCTAAAAAATAATACCTAAAGTTTATAAAAAGATAAAGAATTCCATAATATACGTTGAGTCAAATAAATCAACACCAGCAGCAACACCTTGCAAGACTTCTTCTGCAAAGTTGAGAATTGGATAAGATTCAGTACTGAGCAAAAGTCGACAGAAGTCCTAATAATTAGAAAAGTGAATGCATGCAGAAACTCTTTCATCCTACGCAAATGGCTAGCTCAGCATCCATTTGGTCCATAAAGGTAAAGCACAACTTTAGTGCATACTGCGTATTATGACAAACCAAATACAATCATCATGTTATGAACCATTTGAACTGCAAAGCTACTGGAGATTGATTGCAAGACACTTAAACAAAGAGGTTGTGGATACACGATTAACAAATACCTGGAAGTCCAAGACCACATATCTGGCGTGGCTTATCCTCTGGTAATATTTCCTAAAGTTACAAGCAAAGAGACAACTGAGCAAGTGGAGAATATGCCAACATTCATTAAATTAAAACAACATCTGAGTTAGATATCTGTTGACCAATATGAATATGATCAGTTTTCGCATTATTCTTTTATCCAACTGACAGGCATGAAATCAAAGCCTAGTCATCTAGGCAACCTTCACTTTCTCTATAAGCTCTTCTACATCAAACTTCTGATCGTAGTACTTGCAGTAAAACCATGACACAATGTCCAATGCAGGCAGCCTCTATAAGCACAATTCTAATGCACTTTCGGACTTTAGTTCTTAGATTCTCCATTTTATTATTTCCTTATTGTTCCTCAGACCAGTTAACTTCAACAATCAAATATCTAGATGTGTACAAATATCCCTCTTAATCAATTTCTCAAAATCGGTGGCAGGTTGAGGACGAGCCTCTAAGTAGGTCTAGGGATTAGGCGGGGTACACAGTCCAGGAGGACTTAGAGCCTATGCAGGACTAAACAGAGGTAGATGGAGAATGAGGGTGGTCGATGGGGACTTTTAAAACAATGCTATGGATACTTGACTGGCATATAACTTCATCTAATGCATGGATAAACATGTGAAATGGACTTCAAATGCTATACATAATTTGGGAGATAGACACATGGTGGACTTCTCCTAGAATGCACTATTCCTAATAATTCACATAACTATAGAAATTACAGAAATAACAAGTTTCCAATGAACAAGAAAACTCATACGGTAATAGCACTGAGAACAGAAGGGCGTTCGTCCATACTCTCTCCAACCCCAAAGCCACCTAAATAAAAACCTGCATAATACAACAAACTCACATTAAGGAAAATGGAAAAATTTAAAAGCGAAAAGGTAAGAATCCTTAAATACATAGTGCCTGCTCACTGCACTCTGGTTTTCAAATGCAAATGGAGAGGAAACACTGTCATTTCTGCTTATCTAAATTAGAAATAAATTATTTCCAACAATTTATTTTTTATTAAAAAAGAGAAGGTGAAAAGATTTTAGTTCTAAGCTTATCTTGAAAATATTTTGCGCAGTACATTATTAAAATATACAGCAACTATTATACTCTGTCCAACACCCTGTTTTAATTATTACAGGCATTACTTTCAAGTTTTCGGAGTTTGTAAACCAAGAAGATTTTAGCTTTCAGACAGTAACATCCAACCCAAATAAACTTAATTGACTGATTGAAGACATTTCACTTATCACATTTCTCCTGGGCATTACAGCTCCAACACTAGAAAGATAATCTTCATCAATGAAAATGAGACAAATTTTCTTCCATTCAATAATAGAGCTGGAGGTATTCAAATTTCGGAATCGAATTTAATTTTCCAGAAAATATTTGAGTATGAGTAACTGGCGATAGAAACCTGACACGTTTCTCTTTGCAACTTCTTGTGCACAGCGTTTCCGTTCTTCAATATTAGAGCCTCCTACAATGGACCCAAAGACTGCTCCACCTGTCTGTATTTGAGTAATTAACTGAAAGGAAAGCTATTCACGAGTTCACGAGGAACAGCCATAGAATCATCAATATCATGAAACAGGTACCAATTCCCTTAAGTAAATATTATAGTTCAACATTTTCAACTATTTTCCCTATTTGCATTGAACCACTTTTTTAGCCTCTTATCATGAAATAATGTGACATGGTCCTTTGTAGAACCATTATATATAAAGTGTTCACCTAGCTTGTTCCAACGTAACTGTATTTCACGAGCCGCTAAAATGTGACTGATGTATAGACTAGCATATTAAATCGTAAAAATTATAATGTACCTATATTTTTACTTTTTAGTCACAGCAGAATCTAATGAACGAGAGGATCCGGACAAAGGAGGCAAATTGTATGAGCATCGATGGAACCCAAGTTCAAAATTCTAATAAAATGGTGCAACATCCTTATTTCCTCGTGCTTGGTCCAAAAAGGGCAAAACAACTAAGACTTTGAACAAATGGGGTAAACCAAAGAGGTATATGATTCATTGGTAAATACACCTTTCTATTGTGAATGAAGAGATGACTTACAAGAGAGAATCATCTTTATTCACTCATGATTCTTTTGAGTTTTATTTTTCATGTAGGTGAAACATTAATCCAAATAAGAAAGAGATAAGTTACGCCATTATACACAGAGAAGAACCAAATTAGAAACGCACATTGTTAGTGAAAGCTGATTTTAAGCAATCATCGAGCCACCTCACAGTACGATCGACCGACGCCCTGTTTCTCTTCTGAGAAACCCAAGTAGGCACTTCGTCTGCCAAAGTGGCCCACATATTGGGTTTCATTGAGGATATCATCTCCACATACTGCATCGGTTTCATCTGTCATTACCCACAATGCCATCAATACACAAGCCAACACACAAACTTTCCCTACAGAAACCAAAAGCAGAAGAAAACCAAAATCGTGAAACAAACTGAAATGGTTACCAGAAGCCGACCGGAAGGGGTCTCGAAAGAAGCTCCAATCTTGTTCGTGCTCTGATAATCTGGTAGGGATATAACTGAATCCCTCGGAACAGCCACAAACGCGTGTTCATCCAAACCCACCATCTTGTGCAGGCCCCCCAAATCGGATATGGTTTTGAGAGAGATGCCTTCCCAGCTGGAAACACAGACACGCACACACGCATGTGAGGGAGACAACTAACACCAATGTAAAATGGTTCATCATCAAATAACCAGCTCCTTGGCTGGACAAAATAACAAATACTTTATCCGCAGCATAAAGATCTGAAGTGGAAACCAGAGTAGAAAAAGATCTGAAGTGGAAACCAGAGTAGAACTCGAGTATAACCGAAAGAACG